CAGTCGAACCCAGGCGTCCTGCGAGAGTGTCCCGGCGACTAATGCGGCGAATCTCTTTCGTCGTTCCTCGACTGTTCCTTCCTTGCCAAATCCGAATTCCTCGGCAAGGGCTTCCAGCTCGTCTCGACGGAGTTTGTAGATCCATCCGGTGTTGACTCCGGGATTGGTATGGTGTCACTCAAGGAAGAATTCATCGGGTTGGCCGTCTCCGTGGGCTTCCATGGTGTGTGTAATTTTTTTTCCGGTAAGTGGCACTGACTTACGTTGTGTTTGTGGTACTTCTGTACTGTAGCACTTTTGCTTGCGACCAGATTTAGCGTGGGCGGGGTTTTGTGCTTGACGGCTATTGATCCTTGCTAGCCTAGTCTCTTTCAGTGGCCGTGGGTCTTTACTCCACAAAGCTCCGTATTAAGGTGTTAGTCTCCTTAAAGTCACCAAAAAGTCCCTGCTCGGGCGCCACTTGTGAGGTCCTATCTCAGGCTGAGGTATGCTTCAGTCTGTCCAGGGTCCGTTACAAGAAAATTTGTAGATCGCAGGTGACTTTAGATGTCGGGCTGGCTTGAAAATGCAGTAGGCAAGGGAGAAATGATGACGCGAGAGTTTGAGTTTGGTTGTTTCTTGGTTTATTCAGTACTTTTCATTCACTTAGTTCGTTACGTGGTTGCCCTTGCTTTTGGCTGTGTGGCTGTGTGCTTTTGCGCTGGTGGACTGCGTAGTGTGGTGTTTTGCGTTTCTGACTGCCTAGTGCAGTGTCTTGTGTGCTTGGCCTCTTGTGTTCGGTCTGAGGTACTGCCTAGTGTAGTGTCTTGGGTGTGTGACTGTCTAGTGCAGTGTCTTGTGTTCGGGCTGATGGACTGCCTACTATTTTGGCCGATCTTGGCCTTTTTATGCAACTGGCGCCGCACCTGAGACCCGGAAATAATTGCTTATTGCTAACTTATGATTATTGGGTAATAATAATTGTGGGGCGCGGTAAGTGGGTCGAAGCTGGGTGCTTCGTTGACAATTTCTTAGTGTCAGGGTCAGTGTGTTTTGATGAGAGTGTTTTTAGCTGAGGCTGCATCGCAGTAGGTGCGGGCTGCAGTTGGGAAAGGTGATATCTGAATTTGGGTCAATGTTTCGGGGCCGAGTGGTTGCGAAATATCGCCAAGATGTGGGTGACCGAGAATTTCGTGCTGTTTCCGGATGTGCTGACGCACCGCTATTTGTGGAGAACCGTGGTTCGTTGGCTCTGTGTATATCAGTTTGATTATTGTTGCCGACTAGCGTGGATGCGCTGACACTCCGCCGTTTGTGACGAGCCATGGCTAGAACCATGGTTCGTTACAAGTATGTAACGCGGAAATATAGAGTGACCCACAGTAGCGAAGTCCTTGCAAAATTCAGCCCAAGCCGATTCCAGTGGCTGAGGAAGACTTTCATCCCAATGCAGCTTGTTTCTCCACATGCGCTTCATGACGCTCTTTTCAATGTGGGTCCAATTAATCCCATAGGATCATAGCACAGTGCTATGGTTGACAAGACCGAGCGCTTAGTGTGCTTGGCAACACCGAATTGAGGTGCAGAAGTAAACAAGAAGTAAACAAGATTTTGTCCATATGGAGTTCCCAAGTGAGGCCAAGCGCCTTGGTCCCGTCGCTGCCATCATCGAGCTTCAGAAAACTTTCCCTTTCGGCCTCAGGGACTTCACGAAGAACATCAGGAGAGTTGAAACACCATTTCCTCAATTGAAAAGTGCCTCGAGCAAGAAGATCCGTGATCCGCATATTATCCAGCACTTTCCCGACTGAATTGCCTCCAGAAATCATATCGTCCACGTAGAAGTCCTGTAGAATGGTTTTCAAACCCAATGAATACGAAGACGACTCATCCATGGCCAGCTGATGCATAGCTCGAATAGCTAAAAACGAAGCAGGCTTAGTCCCATAGGTGACAGTGTTTAGCTTGAAGATCTGTATGTCGTCGTCAAGAGAGTCCCGCCACAATATGCATTTTACCGATATCACCTGTAAGAGCAATGGAAAACAGCTTGGGTTAAATGGTGGGACCTGACATAAGCAGATCATTCAAGGATAGACCAGATGTGGTAGCTGCATAACCGTTGAATACGACTCCCAGCTTTGTTGTGAATCTGTCCTCTTTAATGACGCAAGGGTGAGGCAAGAAATATCTGCACTTGTGCCTATCTTCTTTTGGGACCAGAGACATATGGTCAAGGGACAGGTACTCCTTCATAAATGCCGAATATTTCGGATACAGAGCTGGATTACGCACAAACTTGCGCTCCTAATCGCCCAAGGACTCCAAACTTCGCTTTATGGGCAAGCTAACGGAATATTCCCCTGAGGGTAATCGAGTGTGATGGTGCAGCCTCTCGCGCTCTCGCAGTGCAGCTCCTCCTTTGTTGCCCTAACGATTGGCTCAAAGATGTGCTCCACTTCCCAGAATTGACGAACCAACTCATCGAGACGAGTGCTGTGATTGGTGTCTTCCAATGATTGGGTTGCCCGAGTGCCCGCGACCAGAAAGAATCTATCCTAGATGTGTCTTCTACAGAAACGGTAGTCCATGCTCCAGCTGAATTTGCCTCCCACACAGCAACTCGAAGAAAAATCCGACTCCAAAGAGCAGGTCAATCCACTGCGGCTTATGGAACGAAGGGTCAGCAAGCTGGATATTCGAAGGTACAGGCCAATTAGCAGTGTTATCTGTGATGCTAAGTTGATGGTCCGTGATTTTCTGGGCAACGACGGCAGTGATGCTAGTGGTGAGCTCTGAAGTTCGCGATTGATTAGCTAGACGACTAGTTACAAAATGCAATTGCGATCCAAAAGTGCGCGATATGGCACGAAAGTTCCAACGCTGCTTTTTACGAGAACGACGGCGGTGGCTAAAAGCACAGCATCAGATGGACTGTGGAACATAAGTGCTTGAGGCAAGGAGGTTGACAATGCAACCATAGCGGTAAGACTTGGTTGTGCTTGTGAGGCTTCAACTGGAAGCACAGATTGGACCGTGCGGCAGGGACCTGATCTACAATCTCTCAATTGATGGCCCTTTCGTAGGCAATTAAGGCATAGCAAGAGCCTTCCAGGTGACGATCTTTCGGTGATAGAATTTTAAACCGTTGAAAATTGGCAATCATGTGATGAGTGCTCTCGCGCAATGCATAGGAAACTGGAGCGCTCGATGCTACAAACGACTTTCTATGATGCGTACTCACGGTTTTTCCTGACTTGCCGACCTGACCATCTTGTCCTTGCATGGATTGATCCGGATTTTTAAGCGTTTGACATTTATTTTCCAAAAATCCAGATAATTTCTCCCAAGATGGCAGCTCTTAATTCGACGAAGACCCTCCAAACTACTTTGAGAGGCTTTGCTTGCAAGCGACTCCATAGCACGAATATGCGCGGTAACTCTATGAGTCAGTTCCCTCAACCTGCCCACCGATGCGTTAGCCTTCTCCGACCCAAATATCCCTCTGATGTGTGCCTGCAAAATAAAACGTTTATTGTCAAAAATATAAGCAGTAATGATATTGCATTGCTTCGCCCTGTTCTCGCAGCAGTCCAAATTATTTTTCATACATACATGTGTATGGGTACGGGAACGTAATGAGAGAGCGATTTTCAGTATAATGCCCTCTGCGCACTGAGCCCATCCCGGGGGAAAGGTGGGAATTTTTTAAAGATGTGAAACACCGATTCACACTGGCACCATCTACCATGCACCATTCATGAAAAATAGCTGATGCACACAATTTGGTGCGGCGGAAAATTTGTTTACTTTTATAATTTAAATGAATATTAATAATATTGCAATGGTTGTGAATGTGATTCAGCCCCAAAATATATTCTTGCACAATCATGTTGCTGGACATGGAGTATGGTAATGAGGCCAACATTAGCGAGGAGAATTTATTGGAATAGATATACGCTTTGAAAACACTGAAGCGTGGTCATTTTTGACTGCTTCTACTAAATCCAATCAATGTTTTAAATACAAATACATATTCTGTATTTTCTGAGAAGCGACTTGGGACATTTTGGGAGAAATGTGTACCCGAAAACAAGAGGCGTTATTTAAGGAAAGTTTTCTATAGCCATAACATTGTATACTCTTTTTCTGAATACAGAGTAGTCGGAAGGCTGTCAGCCAAAAACGGGTGAAGTTTCCTGCATGAGTTTTGTACCTGTGACAATTCTGACATATCAGATGTTTTGTTGTTGTTTTTTACCATTTTCCTGTCTGTCATTGTTTACATTTTCGTAGTGAATTCCGGTTTTTTGTTGTGAATGTCAAATATTTATTGTTACATTTGACAATTATCGAAAAAATTCCGCACAGAAACGTGCGAATTAGGAACATCCCAGATTGATGGTGGTGTAGAACTTTTGAATAAAATATCACAATTTGCACACTTTTTTATATGAGTTTTGACATTAAAGTCTAAGTTTCGTCGAAAGATGTGGTAAATGTTGGTAGTCCGACAAAAAATTTAAAAATTTTACAGACATTTTACAACCCCAGCAAAACTACAAAATTAAACATCTTTGGATGAAACTTAAACTTCAATGTCAAAACTTATATAAAAAAGCACACCTGATTATGATTACATTTTGTATGGGCAAAAATAAAACTTTGAAATTCAATAAAAAAAAATAAGCATGTCCGACTGCCAAATAAGTGCTGCACGTAAATTCTTGATAAATCGCGGCGCGTCATCCGTTTTTTTTTGTTTTTTTTCGAAGCATAGGCCCGAATATCAAACATTCACCAAATCGACTTTTGTGGATGCTCTGGAATCTTCAATCTGGAATCAGGAACCTTGAAATGAAAAGTATGATTTTTTTGCTGAAAAGTAAAACGCAAAGTGAATGTGGAAACCGTAGCCTTCCTTATAGTTCTAGTTATAGTTATGTAATCTGGTTTAAATGTGTTAAACTATCTTATTTGAAGTCCACATATATATGTTCATTTATATATAATATTTTCAGGCGAAAAACCACACGAATGTTTGGTATGCGGCAAAGGATTTAGTACATCAAGTTCACTCAACACACATAGGTAATTACTTCAAACCAAAAATAAAAACGTAACTGAAACAAAAATTCAACAATAGGAGAATTCATTCTGGAGAAAAGCCTCACGAATGTCAAATATGCGGGAAAAGGTTCACAGCGAGCAGTAATCTATATTATCACAGAATGACCCATATAAAGGTAATGTACATTATTTTATTTATTTTATATAAATAATACTATAGAAAATACATTTATGCGCACTTATTTCGAACTACTTAAGCAATCTTGCACATCATTGAAGCTTGAGCTAAAGTTTATATTGTAAATTTATATTCTTTATATTAAAAAATCGGTTGGTGAATCTACCTCTCAGAAAATGGTGACAAAACCCAAAAACTGTTTATCACCTCAGTAATCATAAGTGCCTTAGAAATGAATACCGCATTCAAGCTCAGTTGGAAATTAAGTTGGCACAGTGTCGGGTGTTTTTTGTCGTTTTTGTCGTTTGGTTGATTTGTTCGAGTAAATACCAAAAGCACATTTCACGTTCCAAGTCACACAGAGCGGAGCAGTTTCCACGGTGAAGGTGATTGAAGCCGGAGTCCCGCAAGGCAGCGTGCTAGGGCTAACGCTGTACAGCCTTTTCAAGCGCGATATGCGTAAGAATAGCGTTGACAATATGTCGTCCCAGCCAATCGATGTGAAACTTGCCACACTTCCCGACGACACGGCAGTCCTGTCAAGGACCAACTGCGTTTACGACGCCACGGACAACCTCTAGCGGTACCTTAAAAGGTTTGAGAATTGGGCATGTGGGTGGAATATCAGAGTGACCCCTCAGACACACACGCATAGGAAAGGAACGTGCCCTGGGGTATTTCTTCATGGCGAGCTGTTGGAGCAGCGGAAGGAACATAAGTACCTGGGAATCACGCTGGACACCCGCCTGACCTTTGCCAGCCACACAAGGATGGTCAGAAGCGCTTTGGAAAGCAGGGCTAGAAAACTCTACTGGCTTCTTAAGCCTAACAACAAGCTTAGCCTGGCCAACAAAATCCGCATATATAAGGTAATCCTGGCACCTGCATGGAGGTATGGCATCCAGGTCTATGGCATCGCAGCGAAAACGAACCTGGACGAGTTCAGGGTGTTTCAGAACAAGACCCTCCGAAATACCTGTGGTGCTGAATGGTGTGTCCGTAATAGAGACATCGCCAAAACCTTGGAGTCCCCTCAGTCGGTGACATTATTAACGAACAAGCCACAAGATACTTGACCAAACTAAGGAGCCACCCGAACGTACTCGCTAGAAGATTGGTAAGGAGCAGAACCAGGCGAAGGTTAAACCGCATCCATCCGTCCGACTTGGCCACCAGGAACATATAAATTATTGTTGCACAATCTCCGTTTTCGTCCGTTGGTCCGGCATTTAACTTAAAATATTAAATTGTAAATAGAAATTGTCCTTGACCCTTAACAAAAGTTGCTAATCAAACAGTAATAGTACGTTAAGTAATTGTTCTTTATTGTCCGTAATAATTGTTTACAATAAACCTACATAATGAAAGTAAAAAAAACTCAGAGAGTGACAAAGTTTTTATAATGGCTACAGGATAATTTACAAAAACTTTACAAAAACGAGAAGGAAAGTGTGAGTCGCTTCTGGGGACGCGACTATACTTATACCCGTACTCAGTCAGTATATAAATTTTTGAGGTAATGATTTTTTAGAACTTAAGATCATCTACTATGTATATTCTACATCTAAAATTATAGATTATTATAGATATTATAGATATACCATTTAGATTCGACATCTTCTCCGCTAGAATGCGCTCGCGTACATAATGAGGCAGAGTGTGCGAGCGAGAATGAGTAGCGCATATGCGGCAGAAGTCATGGTGGGGCAGTCTGTACCACGTGGCCATGCGGCCGATGTCACAGTGCCCCGTTATGACTCCTGTCAGTGTTCGCACCCGACTCTTCCTGAAGCTTAGGAGAGTCTTGGTGCGTTTAGGGTCATAGTAGGAGCAAAGCGAGCGAGAGATCTCATAGTTGGGTATGGTGTTCCACCTCCTGTCAGATCTCGTTCTTGCTCGGCCCATCATCTGCGAGATGATGTCTCGTAGTGGCCTCCGTATGTCGCTGACTGCGTCCGCCACTGGCTTGGCCGTTATGTTGCCCGCTATGTCGGACTTTTAGTTTAGGAGATATGAGCAATCAAAGTTGAAAATTGTTTCCGTGTGAAAAAATGTATTCAACTTTTATTGACATACTGCATCTTTCAGGTAGAATAAAAAGTAAACTGTGTGAGTTATCATTCTGTTTTTGGTATATTTTACTAGGTATATTCATTTTTATCAATATTCAATAAAAAACTGGTCCGTTTCATAGACAGTTATAGAGAAAATCGTATTTTCAAACTATTCAGTTTTTGGGTTGTTTTTCAACTTAAACCTGAATTAAAAAAAAAAGAATATTTTTGTATTCCCGACATTTTTTTATACGTGCTCTTATAATATTCCGTTACCTTAGTTTAAAGCCCATATTTGCACATTGGACCGTTTGGCTTCTACATCGATAACAGTGACGCTACCTCGCACGCAAGACCCTCCGAAGTATCTGTGGTGCTGAATGGTATGTCCGTAATAGAGACATCGCCAAAGAACTTGGAGTCCCCTCAGTCGGTGACATTATTAACGAAATTCATTTCCTAAGTGTGTGTATCACTACCACACACTTATCAGGGTTCACTCTTATATTCCACCTACATGCCCAGTTCTCAAACCTTTTAAGGTACCGCTAGAGGTTGACCGTGGCGTCGTAAACGCAGTTGGCCCTTGACAGGACTGCCGTGTCGTCGGGAAATGTGGCAAGTTTCACATCGATTGGCTGGGACGTATTTTCAACGCTATTCTTAGGCATATCGTGCGTGAAAAGGATGTACAGCGTTAGCCCTAACACGATGCCTTCCGGGACTCCGGCTTCAATCACCTTCACCGTGGAAACTGCTCCGCTCTGTGCGACTTGGAACGTTCTGTCCTTTAGGAAGCTTCCAATAATCAGGAACAGCTTGGGGTTTATCATCCATTAGACATGTGATATCTCAAAATAAATCGGAAAATAGTTATTCTAACAAAATTTTAGGTTTATGAGATATTTTTTACAAGGTAGATAAATATTACAAAGACAAATTTTTAAATAAATAAGTTTAATAATACAAAAATATTTTTTTTCAAACAATTTTAAAAACAAACAATTTTTTAAATTTTGAAATACACTTATCACAGTCAGCAAAAAAAGTTGGTTGCTCTAGGTCTTATAGTCTCTGAGAACTAGGCGCTCATCAAGACGGACGGACGGACAAACAGACATGTCGATATCGACTCGGGTATTGATGCTGATCAAGAATATATGTATACACCTGTTCTTCGAATTCTTTCAATACGAACTAAGTCTTACACGACTATAAAGTTGCTCAAAACCTCGTTCTTAAACGATTGAAAAATGAATTAATTAATGAAATTAATTTTTTTTTTCAATTATGCGTTAGTGTGTTTTTGTATGCACCACTATGCAGGAGGTGCGCATAGAAAGAGGGAAAGCTCTCAAGGAGCTGTCAGATGTAATACAACTAGGCAATAAAATTTAATTTTTTTCCGCTGTGTCATAAACGTTTTCTTCTCTGTGTTACTCTCATCCACTTTTACCACAAATCTAATATACCCCTTAATTCTTCGAGTACGGGTATTAATTGAAGACTAGCAACTCTCTGCTAACATAAATTATTATTAAAATTAAAGGAAAAAAAGTGGATATAGGAAATAATTAAAAATTAGTGGATTGTAAGAACAGGTATATCTTACTGGCTATAATTTTAAGGGATAATTCAGGGGATAGGGTGTGATAGAGATTATTATAATTAGAGCATAAGATTCGAAAAGGGTCGTGTTGAGCGTAATTAGACCTACGGAAGGGTAAACGAAACGGACGAAAGGTACGGGTAGGTCTAAGGGGAACAGAAAAGTCAAGCAGGCCAAGAAGTGCTTCTGAATCAACAAGCCCAACTAGGAGCTTGTGTACAAATATAACGCCGTTACAAATTCTGCGATGGCGCAAAGAAGGTAGGTCTAAAAGATGTAGCCTCGATTGATAAGGTGGCAAGATTCTATCCGAGTCCCAGTTAAAATTACGTAAAGCAAAAATTGTTTTTGGACCGACTCGAGAATATTCCAACAATATTCCAGAATCGGACGAACCAAGGAGACTTACAGTGTTTTGGTGACATATGGGTCATCAAACTCCTTGGACCAACGCTTTATAAACGCTAGAACAACCTTAGCTTTATTTACAGTTGCAGCTATATGGCTATTAAAACACAGTCTATGATCGAAAAGAACTCCAAGGTCACTAGAACTCGAAATTTGTTCGAGGGCATGAATTCCTAGAGCGTACGAGACAAAGTGTGGACTGCGACGGTAAAAAGTCATAAGTTTGCATTTAGAAAGGTTCAGAAAGAGGAGATTTGTTGAACACCAAATTTGCAACTCGTTTAGGTCGAGTTGAAGGCGTTTGTGCAGGTACCAATCAGAGTAGGAGAGATAGATTTTAACATCGTCAGCGTACATTAGAGTAGAGGAGTATGTTATAACTTGAGGAAGGTCATTCACAAATAAAATAAACAGAAGTGGACCTAAATGACTACCTTGTGGCACTCCTGATGTAACATTAACGACATTCGACAACACATTAGCCGTTGTGTGCGGTTAGAAAGATATGACGAAATCCAGTTTAGAAGATTAGTGGGAAAACCAATTAAAGAAAGCTTGTGAATGAGAAGAGAATGGTTCACGGAGTCGAAAGCCTTGCTAAAATCCGTGAAAATTACGTCTGTTTGCAGGGAGCTTTGAAATCCTCGGTTAATTGCAGAAGAGAACTCGAGAAGGTTTGTCAATGTTGATCGATGTTTAAAAAATCCGTGTTGCGATGGAGATATCAGACTCCTGCATAGGTGTTGCAATTGCTGGTAATAAGAAACTCAAGCAGCTTTGGAATGGCGGAAAGCTTAGCAATACCTCGGTAGTTCTCAATGTGAGATCTTGAACCCTTTTTGTGAAGCGGAATGATATAGGATTCGTTCCAAATCACTGGAAGACAGGACCGTTCCAATGATAGGTTGAAAAGATATGTCAACGGTTTGCATAAGGACTGGGCACAGTGTTTTAAAATACAACTTGGTACCTTGTCTGGACCCGCCGAGAATGATATGTCAATCGTTGACAAAGCTTCTAGAACATCACTTTCCTCAAAGAAAGGCAGAGAAATGCAGTTGGCGTAAGGTAAATGGTAGGGATACGGAGTAGATG